AGTCGCCTAATGTCACCGAGTGTTTTGCTTCCGAGACCATCGGCACTGTTGAAGTGCCTTTCCGCAGCATCGACATCAATCCAACGCTTTCTGAAGCGAACAAGCAGCGTTTGAGCGAGCTGTTGCTGGAATTCCACACATGCTTTGCACGTTCTTCGAAGATACGTCAAACACCGATTACGAAACGCCGTATTATCACCTACGACGACGCGCATCCCATACGGCAGCAGCCTTATCATGTTTCGTCAACCGAACGGCACGCGATTCAAACGCAGGTTAAGGAAATGCTTCAGGATGGCATGATACAGCCTTCAAGCAGCCCTTGGTTCATCACCAGTCGTTCTTGTGAAAAAGAAAGATGGCTCGCTTCGCTTTTGTGTCGACTACAGGAAGTTGAACAATGTCACAAAGAAAGACGTGTACCCGTTGCCTAGAGTGGACGATTCTCTGCACAGGCTGCGCCGCGCAAAGTATTTTACGTCCCTCGACTTGAAGAGTGGTTATTGGCAAATAGAGGTCGATGAACGTGACCGGGAAAATACCGCTTTTGTAACGCCGGATGGCCTTTATGAATTCAAAGTGCTCCCTTTCGGCCTCTGTTCTGCTCCAGCCACATTCCAGCGAATGATGGACACCGTCCTGGCAGACCTCAAGTGGAAAAGCCGTCTCGTCTACCTCGATGACGTCGTTGTGTTTTCAGAAACGTTTGACGAGCATCTTCGTCGCCTTCGGAATGTGCTCGAAGCCATTAGATTGGCCAATCTCACACTCAAGCCTGAGAAATGTTATTTCGGCTACGAAGAATTAAAGTTTCTTGGTCACGTCATCAGCGCCGTTGGTGTTCGGCCTGATCCTGACAAAACTGCTGCCGTCGCCACTTTTCCAACTCCAACTGACAAGAAAAGTCTTAGACGATTTCTGGGTCTGTGCGCGTATTACCGGCGCTTTATTGAAAATTTATCCAACATCGCGGAGCCACTATTACGCCTCACGCATGATGACACACCATTTGTCTGGGCTGACGAACAGCAGACTGCCTTTGCGGAACTACAGCACCGGCTCTCTTCCCCTCCCTTGCTAGGCCACTTCGATGAAGATGCTGACACAGAAGTACGCACTGATGCCAACAATATTGGTCTTGGAGATATTTTGGTAACACGACAAGACGGCATTGAACGGGTAATAGCCTATGCAAGTCGCACACTGTCTCACGCAGAGTCTAACTATTCTACATCAGAGAAAGAATGTCTTGTGGTCATTTGGTCAATTACAATGTTTAGGCCATATCTCTACGGAAGACCATTTAAAGTGGTGACTGATCATCATGCTTTGTGCCGGTTGACCAATTTACGAGACCCTTCAGGACAATTAGCACGATGGAGTCTGCGCCTACAAGGAATTTGATGTCACCATCGTGTACAAGTCAAGCAAAAAGCACGAAGATGCCGACACGCTATCACGAGCACCTCTCCAATTCACCAGTACAAGCGCAAAAGAGGACGGCGCCTTCGTGGCAACGCTGAGCGGGCCGGATCTGTCTCAGCAACAAAATTACGCCGATCTAAGAATGATTATAGATCACTTAGAAGGTGGCACCTGCACCCATTCCTCGTCCGATGTCGCGAACGTTGCCATCATTTTGCCTACGAAATGGCGTCTTATACAGAAAGAACACTGGTGCTGGTGACAGATTGCATCTTCTCGTTGTGCCTGAAGCCCTTCGTGATGACGTCTTATTAGCTTGCCATGACGAGCCCACATCCGGCCATCCGGGCTACTCGAAAACTATGGATCGGGTGCGACAGCACTACTACTGGCCTAAAATGTCTGCCTGTGTCAAACGCTACGTGAAGGGTTGCCGTGAATGCCAGTGTCGCAAGACACCACCCTTAAAGCCTGCAGGCCATCTACAACCGATCGATCCACCCCCTACACCATTTGATCAAGTGGGAATGGACCTCCTAGGCCCGTTTCCTTTGTCTTATTCTAGCAACAAATGGATTATTGTCACAACCGATTATTTGACGCGTTACGCTGAGACGAAGGCATTGCCACGAGGGACTGCAGCTGAAGTTGCCAGTTTTTTATGCATAAAATTGTGCTACGGCATGGCGCCCCGTCATATGTCATCACTGATCGAGGGACATCATTCACAGCGAAGCTCTTGGATGATATCTTCAGATTGAGTTATACAACCCATCGAAAGACCACTGCGTATCACCCTCAGAGTAATGGTTTAACAGAAAGACTAAACAAAACGCTAGCCGACATGATCTCTATGTACGTGGATGTGCAGCACAAAACGTGGGACGACATCCTGCCGTACGTAACATTTGCGTACAACACTGCAACGCAGGAAACTACACGCTTCCTGCCATTTCGGCTCGTTTATGGTCGAGATGTCAGAACTACGCTAGACGCCATGATCCCGTATGAGGACATCGACGAGCACGACCAATTAGCCCCCGACATCAATGAGTACATTTAGCACGCTGAGGAAGCACGTCAACTGGCCCGTGTGCACATAAGAACTCAACAGTGCGCAGATGCACAGCGGTACAACATCCGCCATCGAGAAGTCAATTATGAACCTGGTGACCAAGTTTCGGTTTGGACACCCATTAGGTGGCGAGGTCTCAGTGAGAAACTGGAAGTACTTTGGACCTTACGAAGTACTCAGACGTGTCAGCAACGTCAACTACGAAGTGGTTCCAGATGGAGGCTTACCATCATCCGAACGCAGGTTACCCCGCCCAGAGACTGTACACATCGTCCGCCTAAAACCATACTTTACGCGGTGATGCGAATTTTCTTCGTTTGCCAATGAACTCTTTATGTGAACAGTGAATGCCGTTTATTTCCGATTGCCGGGCCCAGGACGCATTTTCTATCCTGCGCTACTTTGTTTAATGTTTGTTTATGTTGCCTACTTTGACCCACTACTGTGCACACTTTTCTTGAGCATCGGGTCGATGCCCTCTTGGGGGAGGAGTAATGCCACCTGGTGTTCTGTGCCAGTGAACAGTGAGCCAGTTCTGGGCCAGTGAACGAAGAAGATAAAGACGAGCAACCGGTGCCAGTGGAGACGTCCTTCTTTGTGTCTCAGATTTTGACAGTCGCGTCTCCTTGTACGTTTCTTCGTGCTCCTAGCGCGTGACAATATCATTGTACCTTTTAGGTACATCTTTCCTCCTTAGTGCGTCCTGTGCGATGGCCCGGTGAACAGGAGCTCGGGCGAAAGCATTGGCTGCCTCAGGGACTCGTGACCTGGAGCCCAAACAATGTACAGTATGGTCCACTGTTAAAGGGAACACTCGAATGCATACTATCAATGTTCCTGGCCCTCTAAGAGCAACTGGATTAAGAAACAATCTTTATACAAGTCAATAGTCTGTTAAGAGGAGTCGCAACTTTTAACCACCAGTAGTCTTATGCACATCTAAGCCACTATGATTTCGTAAGATAGCGAAATCTAAACATGCTGCTCACGCAGGTTTCTCTTTAACAGTGGACCCGTCTGTACGTATCTGGTAGATTTGTCTTTGCTGCAGTGGTGAGAATTTCTAAGGCTTGCTTGGAAATTCTTTCCTTCTGAAAATTTCGACAAGCTGCTGGTGAATCGGTTAGTATTACTGTTGTGTGAGTACAGGTTGAGACTGCTAGCGACTATTGCTGTTTCTTCTGCCATGTCGATTTCTGTGGTTAAGATGCTAGCTGCCGTTAGTTAATATTTTTGTACTGGTGTTTGATAAGCCCTATCTCCGTCTACAGGCATCAGCAATTTTAACTTAAATGTTCCACAGCTTGGCCTGAACTGGTTTGATTGATGCCAGCCATAAAGTGCTGGGTGCTGTTGCCGAGATAATACCTTGGTTTGCTTGGATAGTATGTCACCATGTATTGGTTACATCTCAGTGACAGAAACCAAAGCTACGCAGCACTAGTGTCCATAAAACTGCTTCAGGACACACTGCAGGAGCATTCGAGTTAAGCTTGCTGATGCCTGTAGACGGAGATAGGGCTTATCAAACACTGTACAGTTCACTGTACAGTTAATTTGTAGGCATTCACAAATGATTGTGTCAGTAAATACTGGGTGGGGAGGGGACTGAAAGACATGATAAAGATAATGAAATCTGTGCTGGTGGTAGGCCGGCTTGGTGGACACTGATGGCTAAGACGACCTAGTGGTGCATTAAATTCGAAAGTTCACTTTAGTAGTATGTCAGAAGATGACATTTTTCTATTTTTCTCATCAGAAGGGCAGGCTGGGCGAGTTGGTAATTAAACATGATGTGGCTGTGGGCAGTGGGACCTGGATGGAGGACCAGAGCGAACTATCTGTGTTTGTTCCTGTATCACACTGCCCACAGCAACATTATGCTCCATTTTTTACTCCTCAGTGAACTTTGTGATGAGAGTTTTAGTAGTAAGCGTGCTTAGGTAGGTATCGTGTGAAAACCTTTTTTGATCAGTACACAACGCAGGCTTGTGGAATCTCTTGAATAAAGCCCATGCAATTTATATTTCCAGAAGCATATGCTGGCACATACTAGTGCAGACTGTAGATCATACTATATTTTACAACAATGGATTTTGTGTGTTCCTACAGGAGGTCCTACAGTTGCTGCCTTGAGCTTTTAAATTGCACCTTCCAGCTTCCCTATTGTGTCTTTTACTGGAATCTGCAGCAAAATTTGATCAGTGAACTTTGTACCCGTTTCACCTCTTTTTCAGTGGGCAGCAGAGAGACATTTGTACCGCCGTGAAAGCGGCCCACAACCTGATAAAGTGGGTTCCGAAAGACCAAATAATGTTCATCAATCAATCCATCCATCTTTCATGGCGATTCAGCATGTTCACTGATTCTGTGACTCCTAAGCTCTGTAATCAGTAGTACATAGTAGGCTCTGCTGACTTGCAATATTACCACTGTCTGCTGGTGGCAGTGCTTGCTGATTAGAGCATTAAAATGAAGATTCCATATTGCCATTGCACAGGTAAAGAGATCAAGCTTCAAGAGCTGACATATTCAGGCATGGATGTAATGCCCGTGTATGACGATGATGCACCACCACCGGGTGTTGACGACTATCCAGTGATGAAAGCTGCGCCACCATCATCAACATCACAGGTACTCGTCTAATACACCTACATGCACTACAGGGCAGCAGTGTGTAGATTCATGGCTTATAATCATTTTTAAAAATTAATTTATCAATTCTCTAATAATATAAATAGATAGTATGTCAACATGGTTGTAAAAATGAAGAAGTTTGGGAGTTGTACAATATTTAACACAAACATAATCAAATATTGTGATTTTGCTAAGCTTAAGTAGTAAATCTCAAGATTTAGTTCTAAATTGTTGTGATAAATAAGGCTAAATAAGGCTAAACCAAAGGGGCATTCGTTTTGTATGCTCCTCTGTACTGGTAAGATAAGGGAAATTGCAAAACAAGGTATCCTACATATAGTTATGAAAGTTGGCTGCTGGCCTAATGTTTTTCACATATTTTTGCCACAAGTAGTAGTTGTAGTAATGGAATTATAGTAAATGAAACTGCTGTTTAAATGCAACTAACTTGAATGTAATAGCTTTCAAAGATAAATTCTGCGTCCATGTTCATCTCTCAGTAAATGGAATATTTTTTAAATGGAACATATTGTCCTGGTCTCTTCACGTTCTGTTTAACAAGAGTCTGGTGTATTTCATTTTATAAATTATAAAAAGAATGGGCAGTGCCATAGTACTTTCTCAATGGTAGTGTATACGACTTGTGCAATTTTTCGTAGTCTATCTTTCATTAATGCTTGTCTATTGTCTTTTCAGGCAGTTGTGCTAGCAGGACAACAATTGGCACAAGTTCAGCGAAAACAGGTAGCCATACCAAAGCCTCAGTGGCATCCACCCTGGAAGCTATACAGGGTACGTGCCTTTTTTTCCTATTGACACACTTTAGCTTCAGTGATATCCTTCAGTTAGGCTGCCATTTTTACATGGATGAACATGTGAGGACTTTAAAGCAGATGTACTGTAAGTGCGCAGATGAAAAGTTGGCCCTATAGTCTTGTCAAAACTTATGATCCCCTTCGGTCTAGGAGCCTGTTGAGGTGGAAACAAGATTTTTTTTCTTTAAAGCAAGCCATGTCACATAAACCTTTAAAAAAAAAACTTGTGTACCAAAAAGCTCTCTTGCATTACATTGCATTGTTGTATTGCTTCTTGTAAACTTCTAAACAAAATGTATCCAAGGGCACCTTGAAAGTAATGAAAGAAGAGCACTTAGCAGTCTACTGAGGTGCATTTTTGAAGTCAGGTTCAGAGTCGCAGGTGGCATTGTGCTGCGATTCCTTTGCTTTCTATTGAGGGTCGGCAACCTACGGCCCGCTTGGCAGTATTATCTAGCCCCTGGCACGAAGTCAAACCCCCCAGCTCCTTTCATTTTTTTGCTACTTCTTACTGACAGAGCAGTTTTCACATAAAATAGTATTTTCACTTGTAGTCTATGCTTGATTGCGGCTTTGTAACATGCATGCTGAAATAAACATGATTTCTAATCCAGTTTTACCGATTGGTGTATATTGGCCAAATTTCGTGCTTTGCCTGCAAAGTCCCCTTCCATGTATCGGCTTCACGCAACTTGGCCCTCTGCCTAAAAAAGTTGCCGACCCCTGCTTCATGTCATGCTTCGTTGTTAATGTTGAGCAACCATGCCTTAGATAATATGACATTGACCTCAGCTGGTCAATCGTATTCTAAAGCGACCTCTCACAGGCCTGAGACACTGGTACCCACAGCTCAATGTTTTTGTCTTGGATCAACATGTTTGCTCAGTGCAAAATGAATGAGAGCATATGATTTTGTGAAACGTTTCACGAAACAGGACAACCTGTTAGTGTTGGATTAAATGGGCATCAAACGGACACAGCAAGGAAGTTATTGAAAGCCATGGCACAGCATTTTAATTTAACAGGTCACAACTTTGATGACCTCGGTCTTTACATCCATGAGTCAGACTCCCGATCCCCAGGAAAGAAAATATACAGAGTCACACCTTATCCACACTCCGGTTAGCAAGTATAAATGTATCTGAGGGGGGCTCTTGAGTTCATGTGGTACACTACGTACACAGTGGAAACTGATGAGTGTTAAGCCCTTATTCAAAGAATTTCTGACGTAGCATTGTTCAGGGAAAGATGCAAGTTGAAAAACGCATTTTTTTTCCAAAATGACATAATTTTCACTTTTACTTGATTTCACAAGTTTGGGTTCTCTACTTCTATCACAAAAAAAAATATAATAAAGGTATTAATCAACCTCTAAGAAGGTTCAAATCTCTTTAAAAGAGCATAAGGTGGCTACCAAAAACTAAGAAGAGCTCATTGTCTAGAGTCTCCTGGAAATTGTCACCTGGTTGGTTGCCGTTGCGCTTCACATGAAGAGTTTACGAAATCCACATGCTCAAAATAACAATGAATGCTAAGCTCTCATGATGGAACAAACCATTTAAAAAACATATTGTCACGGCTAAAGGCCTGGCAAGAAGACAGAGGACGATGAAGTGATGAGCGTGGACAGCACCCACGGTTCCTCCGAGGAATAAGAAGTCGGAGCGGCTGCTCTTTTGTTCTGTTAATACAGACCTCGTTTTTTCTGGTCGCACCGTCGTCCTGTATTCTGTTCATTTTCACCTAGCGACATTGGTGGCAGTGCTGGACATCTCCAACTGATGCTTGGGACACCTCCGCGCCCTAACACATCGAGTCCACCACCGCAATCCGTTGCTGCAGTGGATACTCCTGTCCACCGCTACAGTCGCCGACAGCGACGCCTTAGTCCCGAGGTGATCCCGCTCGAACTTCTCCAGCAACACACCGTACCGGGAGAAATGGCTACTGGAGGGCCTTCACAGCTTACTGTTGATCAGCCTCTAATTCCTGAGACCTTCCATGGTGAGGTTTATGAAGACGTCGAGGACTGGTTAGCCCAGTATGAGCGAGTCGCCAAAGCCAACCGCTGGTCCACTGTACAAAAGCTATCGTGCGTCTACTTTGCTTTGGCAGACAGCGCTCGTACGTGGTACGAGAACCAGCGAGTCAACGCTGTCTTCGTAGGGAGGAATTTCGGCAGCAAATTCTCGGGACATTCGCAAACACCGATCGCCGTGATTCTGCTTTGCAGCTCATCGAGGCACGCATACAGAAACCAAACGAGAGCGTCGCCATGTTTGCGGAAGACATGACCTGCCTATTTCAGCGGGCCGACCCCGAGATGCTTGAAGGTAAAAAACTCCGACATTTGATGAGGGGCGTCAAGGAAGAGCTGTTTGCCGGTCTCCTACGCAACCCACCAATAAGCGTAGCCGAATTTGTCAAAGAGGCTACAACAATCGAGCGAGCAATGCAGCAACGGCGCCGATACCATGACCAACCAATCAAAACATCTCCCAGTCCCTCTGCTTTGAGTGCCGGTAGTGAGTGTTCTCTGCGCGAACTCATTCGTGAGGTCGTTCGGGAGGAGATTCGAAACCTCCTTGTGACTCCGCAAGAAAACACCATGGCTTGCGTTGCAGAAGTTGTGCGGCAAGAACTCCGCCAGGCATTTTCGTTGCCCGAATCGCCCTCAGACCAGCGGTCTGTGAGCTACACATCAGCTGTCCGTCGACACACTCCAGTGTCCTACAACTCGTCACCACTGGCTTATCGTGACGTGAGCCAAGGGCCTTACAACGAGCCATGGGCCCCAGCTCCCAATCCGCCGCAGCCGTATCCACAGTCCAACGTGCCTATGCAAACGGCGCCAATGTACACTCCGCCGACACCTGCATCTTGGTCGTAAGGTATGCCCACCAGTCGACCATTCATCCGTAAGACGGACTTGTGGCGCACCATCGACCGTCGACCACTTTGCTTTCATTGCGGAGAAGCCGGCCATATTTTCCGCGATTGCCCGTACCGTGACCGTAGACATCATAACTTTCTACAAACCTCCCCTCGTGCCTATTTCGATAACCGCCGTGACAGCAGTGCAGGCCCGCAAGCACAGCAACCCGAAGTGCCGTATCGTCGACCCCGCTCTCCTTCACCTGCACCGAACTCGCTGCCGCAGCGCAGTTACTCCGAGGTGGTCCGGGGCAGATCTCCTAGCCCTCGTCGGGGAAACTAACAGCTGCGACCTTTGGGGGGAAGGTTGCCGCCCGTCGAGATGCTATCACACCCCCAACATCTTCTCTACGACGTGATACGACGAATGATACCACGGATCGTACGACGCACGATACCAAGGACGATACGACGTCACCGACATCAACGGAAATCGTAAGCGCCAATCTAGACATTTGTATAGACGGACGCCCAATAAAAGCACTGGTAGATACTGGTGCGGACTTCTCTATTATCAGCCGTAAACTCGCCGACTGCCTAAAGAAAGTAAGAACAATATGGACGGGCCCAAACATTAGAACCGCAGGGGGTCAATTGGTGACGCCGACAGGCAAATGTACAGCTCGAATTAATATCGGCAGTTCAGGTTTCGTCGCTACTTTCGTAATTTTACCGGAGTGCTGCAAAGACCTGATCTTGGGCATGGACTTCTTGCGTGAATACGGGGCCATTATCAACATTCTTGAGAGATCGGTTACGTTTTGGACGGCCCCAGATCAAGTTTCGGATGTGCCCTGTACAGACCAGCGACGTCAGCCTCTGCGTGTCTTCGAAGACGACGTGACCATCCTACCGCGATCGAGTGCACTCGTGGCTGTGACATGTGACACGTCGAGCGATTCTGAAAACATCGCCGAGCAAATTCCAACACTGCTATTCAGCCATGGTTTATCTATCGCAAGAGGCGTCGTAAGCATAAAATGCGGACACACGCACGTCCTTGTTACGAACTTCAGCTCTGAACGCCGACGTCTAACGAGGGGCATGGCAGTCGCCTACGTGGAAGAGCTCCCTGAGATGACAGACTGCCTAACTCTTGAAAAAGATAATTCAACTGATCTGACCCCTGCACCTCTATCTGTTGATATTGGCCCAAGTTTGCTGCCGGCGCAGAATCAAAGTATCATGCAGCTTATTAACAAGTTTGAAGATTGTTTCTCTTCGATTTCCAGGGTCCGTCAAATGCCACTGACGAAACATCGAATTATGACGGACGACATGACCAGACCCATCAGGCAAAATCCGTACCGGGTAGCTCCGCGAGAACGTGAAGCCATCGAAAAGCAGGTGCGACAGGTGCTTGAAGATGACGTTATTCAGCCGTCGAAAAGCCCTTGGGCTTCGCCGGTTGTATTAGTGAAGAAAAAAGACGGCACCTTACGTTTCTGCGTGGATTACCGCAAGCTGAATCAGGTGACAAAAAAAGACGTCTACCCACTTCCGCGTATCGACGATTCACTCGATCGACTACGGCATGCGCGTTATTTCTCGTCGATGGATCTAAGGAGTGGGTATTGGCAGATAGAAGTCGATGAAAGAGACCGGGAGAAAACAGCTTTTGTGACACCTGATGGCCTTTTTGAATTTAAGGTACTTCCATTTGGCTTGTGCTCAGCACCGGCAACGTTTCAGCGACTAATGGACACCGTACTATCAGGCCTCAAGTGGCAGACGTGCTTAATGTATTTAGATGACGTCATCGTATTTTATGCCACATTCGACGAACACGTCAGGCGACTGCACTCAGTATTTCAAGCTATCCGTTCCGCCGGACTAACACTTAAGCCAGAAAAATGCTACTTCGGCTTCGAAGAGCTTCTGTTCCTGGGGCATCTTGTCAGTAGTGAAGGTGTGCCGCCTGACCCTGAAAAAATAGCTGCCGTTACGAATTTTCCAGCGCCAACTGACAAAAAGGCGGTCAGACGGTTTTTAGGACTGTGTGCTTACTACTGACGCTTCATTGAGAACTTCTCGCACATTGCC